TAACAGTTATAAGTTATACGGAACTCATACCCATCGCAAATCGAATAGATAAACACATTGGAGATTGGAGATGACTGACCGGACGAATAGCCTCGATCCACCACTCACCAAGTGTGCAAAATGAGAAAATGTAATTCAATGAAGGTCAATCATGAAACTTCCACTGGAACAATGGAAAGATGCACCGCCATAATTTGTGTATTTTCTGCATGTGGCAATGGTGAGTGAATCGGAGGGATGGAGCGAGGCCCTTAGCGTACAAAAGGCATACTCAAACAAGGACTTTTGTACTTATTTCCGGATGTACTCGCGGTCAGGTACATCCAGCTCCGGGCGTAATCGCAGTCAGATACATTCTGAAAAGTCCTAGTGTGAGTAGGTCCTAAATCTTGTGACATAAATGTGATCAGCCCTATGGGCTGGTCTTCGCTAGCCAACGCAAGGGCTGGTCTTCAGTGCCCAACCAACCTGTCTTTACTGCAGTTTGGGAATTGAACTTGCTTGGAGAAATGCTGACCGCCTGAGATCTTATATCTACACTACACCAGTTTCAGCTCGACGTAATGCAGCTTGCGGAACCCACCCGAACATGTGGTGCCACATGGTGCCACGTGGCTATGTTTCCCCGCAGCCGAACTTGTGGCGTCGCGTGGCTATGCGACCCCGCAGCAGAAATTGTGGTGTCACGGGGCTGTGCGTCCCTGCAAACGGAACTGGCGTAGCAACGCTTGAGTCAGCAGTTACGCACTTAACGATGGTCAGGTTTTGCAGTTGCTCTGCCTACAACTCCAGAAGCCACAGACAAGGAGTTCTCCTCAGTTACCGTACCACACTGCTATAAAGGTTGACTTCAGTAAACTGGAGTAAGCTGCACCAGTTAACTGCAGCTAACTGCAGTAAGCTGTAGTAGTAAACTGCAGTTAACTGCAGCTAACTGCAGCTAACTGCAGTTAACTGCAGTAAAGTTCAGTAAACTGTTTTTTCACTGCAGTAACTGCCTCTGCTGTCAATAATGGCAATCGATCTGGGTTGTCGTTGGCCGTAGTTAGACTCCTGAGTGGGAGCATCAGAACAAAACAGGCGCCACAGAATTGCAGATGCTCAAGAAGATCAAGCTTGCAAACGATGTGACGGTCCCGAAATCCGTACATTGCACTGTGAGCCCCAGCACAGTGTCACAGTGTCACAGATTGTGAAGTTTGGCGCTGTAACTGAGATTTGGATGACAGGACTCCCCTCTTGTGCACAGGTGTCACGTCAGTTCCCGCGGCCTGACGTAGATGCAATCTTGACAACGACCAACACAGTTGATAACCTCTGCTGCCTGCAAAGTCCTTCGCTGTCTCCTCTTTGTTAATTCTTGCTGCGGTCAGGTGGCAGGGACGATCCGCAGAGGAGAATTAGTAACTCAGTAACTGTAGAATTGTTACCGCGGCAACTACGGCAACCGATCGGTTAATTACCGCAGGAGATACTGGGTGGGATGGAATAACTCTGGTCAGTTAATTACCGTAGGAACGACAGTAACTCATCTGGAAACAGCTGAGGTGATTTAGTTACTAAACGAGCTCCTGATCTGCAGATAACTTGGATCAGTTAATTACGGCAGCACGAACTGGAACTGCTGACGTGGTAACGTCGGTGGTCAGAAAATTACCATCGTAACAACTCATCTGAGAATAACTCTGGTCAGTCAGATCGGGCCAGGGTTAGAGACCACAGCAACTACGAATCTCCAAATAACAGTTACTGCAGTCAGTTAAATCGGCCGACCCACGCATAGCTCCGGAAGAAAGCAACCCACGACTACCATAATTACAGTTAAGTAAAGAGTTAACCTTTTAATTTTTAAAGTTGTTAAACCACTCAAGTTGCCCTGGTCAACTTCAAGGCGATTTAACTGCAGTAAGTTAGATCGGACCACCCACGCGTAGCTCCGGGAGAAATCAACCCATGACTACCATTACGGTTAAGTAAAGGGTTGAACCACTCAAGTTGAAGTTAACTTCAAGGCAATTTCCTCTGCTCCCTTTTACATGTCACGGACGACAACGGATGGCAATCGACACTCTTCCCGCGAACAAAATGCATCCTGATGATGAAACGAATGTATACAAGTGATGTTTCCAGTTTGATGCAGGCATAATGAGGGTGCTTTGTATTCAGGGGAAGAAGGCAATACCCCCTTAGGAATGAAGACCAGATGTCATCAAACAGCATTCTGCAGAGGGAGTCGAGGGCGGACTTTGACAAGGCGACCCGGATCCCGACAGGTCTACCATATCTCTTCCGCAATATCGCAACCACAACCACAACCACAACCAAAGCAACTCCCTCTTGTGCACCAGATTTACCGCAGCTGCAGTTTTTTTAACTCCTGTTGCAGACCTGCAGTTAAGTTAAACATAAGTAACTGCAGTAACTTCCAGTAAAAGTACACGCGGCGCAGCTAGCTGTTGTTCAGTTAAGACTGTTACCCTGGTTGGGTATCCACCTTGGCAGCTTGATGTCATTGGCTGGCTCAACCACTCCTCCAACAATGTGACCCCTTTCTGCCGAGTCATTCAGGTGACTCGGCTCTGCTGCCTTGTGCTTGCAGAACCCAGTAGCTTCTTGTCAATATAGTCGGTTGTTAGTACTTGTTATCCATTGCCGCCTCCCTGCCCTCCTGTATGTCTCTCCTCCTGCCTGCCTGTCTTCCTTTGTGCATATCTTTCGGCCAGCCTCCCTGCCTGCCTGCCTACCTACCTGGCCGCTTTGCCTGCCTGTCTGCCTGGCCGCTTGCCTTCCTGCCTGGTCGCTTGCCTTCCTGCCTTCCTGCCTGGCCACTTGCCTGCCTGCTTGCCTGCCTTCCTGCCTGCTCGATTGCCGGCCTGGTTGCCTGCCTGCGTGCCTGCCCCCCTCATTGCTTCAATAGAGAGCACTCTCCCCTTTTTCTTAGAATAGACTGTATATTGGCCATATTTGAACAGCTGCATCGAACATCAAGCCTCGTCTCAAACGTGCATGCATGACTCCTTGTTCTCTATTCCGGGAAGAGGGGGTTCAACGCCATGGCATGTATTGCATAGCTGACTTGCAGGTGCACGATGCGCAGGGTTACCGTTTGGGAGGATGGATGCCATTGACATGTCATTGAAGGTTCTGCCCCGAAGGACGCATGGCATTATGTGTTCTACTCCGCATGAGAGAGGGAGGAGGAGGGCTGATGCGCTCCGACCAAGATTGTCTTGTCGCTGCTGCTGCCCCGGAGCGAATCGTTCTTTCATTGTTTGCAATGAGGAGAGCCAGCCCGTAGCAGTTAGCCGCAAACAGAAGCCACGCCGTACACACTACATGCGGCTTTCCATCGCCCAGATCACCCTCGTTACCGCTAGTTAATCACCACGGTAACTATTTTTGGACCCATAGTTACAGCTGGTTAATCACCACAGTAACCTTTTTTGGACCACATTGACCATGGATTAGAATTTTCTAACCAAAGGTATCTTGCTTGGCTGGCTGAGCTCGCAAGTTGCCGGCGCAACGGGAGAGAAGCGCTCCTGCCAGCCAGCTCATTGCGGCGGACATTGTCAAAATTACCACCGTAAAAGCAGGATTTACTGTAACTTGACGGTAAGTTTTTAACCTGTGAGGGATGGGTGCAGCAGAATGGACTTGGATTTCAAGTGCATGCGTGCAGCAGGAGGGCAGCATAGTCCGCCGCTGCGATGCACCCTAGCTATTATGCCTTCCAGTGCCTGCTAGAGGTCTTCAGGTAACCATAATGACGAAGCCGGGACTGACATATGCTCAGTGCTCAGTGCTCAGTGCTCACCTCCCCCCCCCCCCCCCGCCCGCCCTGCTCCCCAACCACCCCATCAGCCATTTGGCTATGGGGGTGACCCTGCCCTTCTTCTTAGCGGTGACCCTGTCAATTACACACTGGGGGCTCTTTGTACGGCTTTCTTCGAAGCCCCTCATCAGCCCCTCACCGTTAGATTCACAGACAGTCACTCCTGATTCATCTCCTCTCCTCCTCCCTCCTCTCCCCTCTCCTTGGACACCTGCTCTTGATTAATGTCTATGGGGATGAGTCGCCAAGCTTTGCCTTTGAGCACACTCCAAATAGAATGCCTAAGTCTCATGCATACAACTTTCTCCGAAGCCCCTCATCAGCCCCTCCTCACCGTTAGATTCGGAGACAATCACTCCTGATTCATGTCCTCTCCTCCTCCCTCCTCTCCTTGGCCACCTGCTTGTCACTGGTGTCTATGGGGATGAGTCGACAAGCTTTGCCTTTGAGCACCCTCCAAATAGAACGCCTAAGTCTCATGATTATGCCATTATAACGTCGAGAGTGCAAGTACGCTAGGAGTCTAGGGTTGGCCCTAAACGTTTCAAAGAAGGGCACGCCCACCGTTGACCAGTAAAACTTATGTCTGATGACTAGGGGTGTTGATTCTTGTCGGAGGGTCTAAATCAGTGGAGACTACATTTGGAATAGCTGATATGATCAACTGAAAGCCGCCACCATCCGATCTAGCAGTCTCTCTCTCTCCCCTCTCCCCTCTACCCCCAGGCACAACGCATGGGGCATTCTTGTCTCTGGCCCCCCTTCAGGAACGTACCTTCGACAGGAGTTTACTTATAATTGCTCTGCATGTCCCCGCGTTATATTCGGGAGTAGATGGCGCCGGGTTGATTGAGCTGCGGGAACTGATGAGGTAGGTGGTTATCCCCATTGGTGCTATTACGTTTGCAGCTCAACTCAAGCACAAACCTGGTCGCAATCCGATCAGATACAGGCTAGAATAGCACACCCCAGACAGGGCCAGGCTGGTGCAGGAGAGGGGCCTCTTCCGACCATCGATTGGTTCAACTACTGGTCGGTCCCACGGAGCTTGATGGATGAACAAACCTGCAGGGTGCAACCGTTTGCTACAACACTCCTCTCCTCTCCTCTCCGCCCCCCGCCCCCCCCCCGCCTCCTCCCTCTTCCGCACCTCCCTGCAGGTACGTCATTCCGTATGTCGTGTGAAAATGCCATGACAACATACACGCATATATACATGTGACTCCATGGCTGTCACCCAAATCACCTCCATATCCCAAACCGCCTGCCCACTTTCTCCATCTGCTGAATAGCCTCCGCGTCTATCTTCCGTAGGAACAGGTAGCACTCTTTGTCTCGTCGGTCGTTCCACTTACAGTTTCTAACTGACCTTATCTCCTGAATGAACTGGTCGGTGATCAGCTCCGCCGTAAAGGTCTTGGGATGCCCCCAGTCCTCGGATGACCAGTCGGTGAAGGTCAGCGTCCTTCTTTCCAGTCCGTCAGGGTCCAAGATATGCAGCAGAGTCTGCAGGTAATGCTCGTCAGACAAACAATGGCCATGCCACTTGTCCCCCCGGCACCATCTCTCAAACTTGGGATAATACACAGTGTCGTTAACCGCCATAGCTGCGTGCCTCCTGTTTAGAGCAAACCACTGGGACCCTTTCCTCCATTGCGAGGCCCTAACCTCCGGCATCATCATGGGAATGTACCTCGCCGGCCACCGATAACTCAGGAAGTAATCGGAGGGAGGGGAGGGCGGTTGACTTTGAATGAAACTCGACGGGCAGGCCATTAGATATTCGTAAATGAAGGTGAAGTTGTGCAGGGGAAGGCAGGTCTCTGACACGAGTACGAACCTCTGGTTAAGCGGATTCAACAGAGCGAAAGCGAGAAGCCTTCTCTCGGCATCAATCATCCTCGGAGTGCCCCACGCCACCTCCTCACTCCTGATCACATTCGCCAGGAAGGGCTCAGGCATGGTATCTTCGAACTCAAAACCGGGAGACGTATGTACCACGACAGAGTACAACTGTTCATTACCTCTGAAGAACAGGTCCCAGAGGGGTGCCAAGGGCAACGGGCCTCGAGTTAAAAATAGAAACGCCACTCGCCGAGGACGTCTACCTCTCGCTGGACCTCCTCCTTCTCCTCCTGTTTCTCCTTGTTGGAGTTTATACCTCATGTCGTGATGATTAGGACGAGAAGTGTAGGCAACCTGAGGGCCACCTTCAAAAGCCATCTTGTCCTCGAGATCCTTCTCCTGAGCAGGTGAGAGAGAGCAGAAGGATGCAGCTTGACGAAGAAGGAAGACATCTGCTGTGGATAAGTTACGACCCTCTATGGTTTCCCTAGAGGGTCCCCTCAGCAGTTCTTCCTCAGAGCACGGCTCGCCGGAGGCTTCCGTGCACTGCAGCGTCACCTCGCCATTGCTCCAGACGGTCACTCGTCGGCCTTGCAAAAGGGGGGGGAAGTTTATGTAAGTCATCACACAGAATAGAGCAGCGAGAACAGGGGAAAGCACAAGCACCTGACGCAGGGTCGGGACCACCATCATCATCCTACAATTCGTACGCATCTAATTGCTCAATATAGGACGAAATCAAACGGACGAGGGACGGATGGGAGTCTGGCAACTCAGTCTGACGGCTAGGAGGGGCAGGGGGAAGGGCGAGGGACGAGAAAGGGGGGGGGGGAGGAGAGCGGGGCAAAGCACATCTGAGGCCACTCGAAGCAGTTATAAACAATGTGCATGGCTGGGCAAAAAAAGGACCTGGCAGATGGCCCTCAGCTTAGCTGATCTAAGTCCGTTTTCTTTTTTGCCTTCTCTGTTTTTTGTGTTTTTTTTTTTTTTTTTTTTTTTTTTTTTTAAGTAGCTGAGATAAGCTAAACTCAGTTATATCTGGTAAACTAAACCAGTCTAAGCCAAGCTAACTTAGGCCATACTCGCACATGTATCTGACAGAGTAACTATGACCAGATTCAGTCAAGACAGTCCTGGACCGGGTGTGAAGAGATGCTCTTTCCCAAAAAGACAAATAAATAAAGTAAAAAAGAACAGATGTTCTTCAAGGTCCTATGCTAAGCTCTCTGCCTCCTTGGACGGGTTCCCACCAGCAAAGACAATTGGATTTAGCGCCCGAATCTGGATGTGTTTTATGCAGAGGTACAGAAAAAGCAGTTCCCTCCCGATTTTCTGCATACTCACAGGAGTACTTTCTGGATGTATCTAATGGCTTTTACAGCCGCTCCTGAATGCACCTGACTGCGATTATGTCCAGAGACAAGTATCAAAAACAAAACTCCTAGTGTGAGTATGCCCTCAGAGTACATTGAACCTGGCATGAAATCAGGTTGGTGACTCCGGTGAGCGTTAAGCTCTGAGCCCCCCCCCCCCCCAAAAAAAAAAGAACAATGATTAATATGGATGTATCATGCCCTGTTCTCTACACCTCCCCACGCAGCCTCAGCTTCCGCTTCCCTGCAGCGATGTCAGAGGCAGCGGCACCATATTACTCCCATCGCCTCCGTCATCTCCCCTCGTCCTTCATTACCTTACCTTGCTCCTCGGTTACCCGCCGTTACGCGAGGTTAAGCTTCTACGTCATACCTCGGTGTTCAAATGTGCAGCGGCGTGGAAGTCGCGGTATTGCCGGGAAGAAGTTGTTTTTTGCCATGATATTAAAACTCAGGACATCTTCTTCATTTGTCTATTGCATTGTGTTGCGCAGCAGCGTGCAGCAGCGTCCCAGAAAGTGGCACCATGTTAGTCACCACCTCCATCATCTTCATTTGGTCTCCAATAACCTCTGCTGCTATGTTCGCTCATTTGCCGATGCTCCTTGATGATCGAAGAAGGAAGCTGGCGATGGCACCGAAGGGTCAGTGTGAGAGGGACTGTGGTGTAGTCCAATCAGCAGCGACGTCAGAGAGAGAGAGACTTTGGCACCCTGTTACTCACCGCCTCCATTATCTTCCCTTGCTCGTCCGCTGACCTCCGCTATGTTGGCTCATTCAACGATGCTCCTTGGTGCTCGAAGAAGGAGGGAAGCTGGAGATGGAGCCAAAGGGTCAGTCTGAGAGGAGCTGTGCTACTGTCCAGACAGCAAGCAGACTGGGCAGACGACGACCTCGGCCACACACGCCATACGATTTACAACGCTTGTGTGCCTGAATTGGCCAACAACACGGTCCGATACACCAAGGAAAGTCCTCCCATCCTGTCTATCTGAAATGCTTGAATTAGGTCCCTGCAGTGGCGGATCCTTTATGTTGCCTCAGGTCCCTGCCGTGTGAGCAACTTGGCCCTTCGGCGAAACCTCCGTTCATACCCTGCCTGGTGCTAAAATGTACCTGGCCGCAATTCAGATCATTAGGATACATTCAAGAAATGTTTGCATGCATACCACCTCCACAATTAGCCCCGTCAAGAAAGGTCACGACGACACATCAGCAGAAGTGCAACTCCTTGCCTTCATCACGCCGAGTCTTTTTTTTTTTTTTTTTCCCTTTCACACCACCTGGACTCAGATCAGCCGCTGTTGATGTTCCATTGTTCTCATCCACTGTGCTTGGGAAAGATACACTTCCACTTTTTGTCCCACTTTTTTGTCCCACTTTTTGTCCCACTTTTTGTCTCACTTTTTGTCCCACTTTTTGTCTGTTGTCACTGACCACATTTGAGAAGTCATGGAGCAAGGTCCTGCAAAAAGTGTAAAGAGCAAATGTGTAACAGAGTGAGTGAATATTCAGCTGGAACTTGGGAAAATGCAGTCCCACTTTTTGTATGTTGTCACTCACCAGACACTTGAGTCGTCTTGCGAGCGAGAGGCCCTAAAGGCGGAGGGGCGCAGCGCGACCGGGAGCGCTGCGCCCCGCCGACACGATCTCGCCGACGGGCTACGGAGAAGCGGGCAGGCGCGGTGCGGTCATGCCGGGTGTTGCTGTGCGGTAACGCACGGCGACGCTGGGCACCGCTGTGCGAGGACGCGTGGCTATGTCAGGTGCTGCTGTGCGATGACATGTGGCGATGCAGGGAGTTGGTGCTGCTACACAACGACGCAGTGCTGCCGCAGGACGACGCGCAGCTAGGCCAGGTGCTGCTGTGCGACAACGTGCGGTCATGCCAAGTGGTGCTGTGCGGTGACGCACGGCAACGCTGGGCGCTGCTGTGCGAGGATGCGTGACCATGTCAGGCACTGCTGTGCGATGACACGTGACGATGCAGGGAGTTGCAGAATGACAAAGTTGGGTGAACACCTCCTCTCTATCTCCTAACATTTGAAAGCATTGGTAGTGCCATCCCGCTGTCTTGTGCCTCTGACGAGTGATGCTACGGGCTAGCATACCGTGTGAGGTGGGGTAAGGCTTTTTACTAGGTCTTGCTTCAGGAGGATCATTTGTGCTCTTCATCTTGCACATTTTGGTGGAGAAGGTCGGCTTGTAGCAAGAGGGAGAAGAGTACAGTGTGTCCCATGGGATGGGAGGAGGAGTGGAGGGGGATAAGGAGTGAAGTGATATTGGGGCTCTTAGCTCGTTCTGTCATCAACCGGCGGATTGTCTTCGTCTTCGCGCCATACAAGCAGCAGTATCAAGCAACAGGGAGAGGTCTTCATTATCTGTGGGGCTGATACATTGTTCTCTTCATCATCGATATCATCAGCAACGGGTTACAAATGGTAGAATCATCAATAACGTCATCACGACATACAATCATTATCTCCTTTGTCACATCACATCTTCTTTCTGATCTATCTCTTTCTGACTCTTGCGCCCTTTTCCTTCTTCCCTCGCTTATCATCTTTCGTGCACTCTCCTTTTTCCCGTGCTAATCGGTAGCTGTCTCGATTGTTGGATTCGCTTGCACCAACAATGGGTGAGTGTTAATGGATGATTTGGCAAGGGTTAGAGCGGCGGAAAAGGAAGTGTATCGCGGGAGAGAGAGGTGGGGGGAGGGATGGGGGATGGTAGGGATGAAAGAAATGGTGAGAAAAGAAGGGAATAAAAAGTAAGAAGGGAGGGAGGAGGAGGGAGGGCTTCATTAGGAGAGGGAGAAAAAGAGATGAGGGGGAGTAGGCTGAAATCTTGTATTTCTTAATATGGATAGTTTCAATTTTTAGTATCTTCATCATTACTATAATCATCTTCATCATCACTTTTATCAGCTCTGAATATTATCCTGACTATCATCTGTAATCATATCTAATTAAACAACCAAAATATTAACGAAAATTACTATCCATAACTAATATCTCTGATTATTCCTATCTTTAAACTCGGAAATCTCAGCTAAAATCTGAAAGGTATCGTGAGATACCTACCATCTCCATAAAAATAATTTACTAATTAATCACTTACTTTATTCTTAACTTCTCACGTTGTTTCACATAGATTACGTAATGATCTGTTCTATCTATACGAGTTTCTCGAAAATCTCCATCGTTTCCTTCAGTGTATTCCTTAATCTCCTGGCGAGTACGTCGGGTTCTTGTCTAAATATTTTCAAATTAATTCACTAATTCCATTGCACATTGTAATTCTCTTCAAATGGAAATAGTGTAGGGGTCAGGTAGAGCTTGGCCTTACAGGGGTTTCACAAGGCGGGGGTTGAAGCCCTGCAGGGGGTACGAGCAGCGTTTGAGGAGCACTCTATTCTGGGGCTAGGTATTTATTCCCAGCGGGGGCAGACTAGGGTAGGAGGAGACAAAGGTATACTATGGGTGGGAATTGTATACTTTTGGGAAAGGAAGTGGGATTACACCTAGGTGGGGCCGAAGAGGAAGGATTAATTGGTCCCTTCTCATTGGCGGAGGCAACAAGGGGGTAAGAGGGATGAAAGAAGGAAGAGGGGGGGTGGAGAATATTTTAATCAAAATGTCACATTGAGCGGTCTGATGTTTTTTAATTCTTGGCAACGTCTAGTTTTCTCTTTTCATCCGGGTATTGATTTTCAGAGAGGATACACTATGGGCTGACATCTGCTGGGGGGTCTTAGTTCTGTGTCCTTGGTGTGCCGACGCCAGAACAACGCTGGTCAGAGCTGGGGTGCAGCCCTGTAACCTGCAATTGGCAGGGGCGTGAGGCCTTGCAGAGAGATCTGGGGATTTGCCGAGGGAGGAAGGCTTTCCACTGGCAATCTGAGGAGGGTCGCCTTGACTAGGGGGGGGGGAATGGTCTAGGTGGCGAGAACAGGACAGCCAAGGTAGACGTTGGCGAGGAGGATGTTGTCTCTGTGCTTTAATGTCCTGGTTCAGGGAGGACCAGAAATGGTTTTAGGATTATGATGTCAGGCTTGCTGTTATAACATTCTCTTAAGTTTCATATTTTTCATCATCATTATTAACTTTAGAAAGAAAAAAAAAATCGTGTTATATCAAGCTTTGTGGTCTTCTGTAATTCTTGGCGGCATTTGGCCTTCTTCCTCATTCGCGATATAGGATTTCAGAGATGGTTGAATCCGGGCTGGAATCTACATAGTTGCTTTGTTCTGTGCCCCTGGTATGCCAATGCCAGAACGACACTGGCCGGAGCTGGGGCGTTGCCCTGTAACCTGCAAATTACAGGAGTGTGAGGCCTTGTAGAGAGATCCGGGGATTAGTCAAGGGAGGAAGACAATCCAGTGGTGAACTGGGGTGTGCTACCAGGACAGCCTATGGGTCCAGGTTTAGTCTAAGTGGCGAGAAGAGGATATCTATGGTTGATGTTGGCTAGGATGGCATTGTCTCTGAGATGTAAATGTCCGGGTACAGGGAAGGCTAGGTGTCGTTCTAAGATTACAAGGCCAGATTTGCTGATATAGCATAGTCTTCTATATTTTTTTACATACTAGCATCATTATCTCTATCTCACATTGTTCATAGAATCATTAGAAGGT